CCTGCTGAAAGGAAACATGCCAAAATCCTGGACCGAAGGCACCATCTCGGTAATACACAAAGAAAATAGAGACCCAAGAAACCCAGCATCATACAGACCTATAACCTTGTTAAATCATGACAACAAAATTTTCACAACAATTCTGGCTAACAGAGTAAAAAAGTTCATCCCCGCCTACATCAATGCGGACCAGACAGGTTTCATCCCCAACAGCCAAATAGCTGATAATATCCGCAGAACCCTAAATATTATCACTTACAGGAGATCTTTACAGTCTGACTCTCTGATATTAGCATTAGACTTCGAAAAAGCCTTCGATTCAGTTGAAATCCCATATATTTTAACACTCATCAGGAAAATGGAGTTTGGAAACAACTTTCTGAAGGCACTAAAACGCTATACACTGAGAAGTAAGGGTGAATGGATACAGCTCTAATAATGTAACTCTCGCAAGAGGAACCAGACAGGGTTGCCCCCTATCCCCATTAATCTTTGCACTCGCAATAGAACCTTTAGCCAAGGAATTAAGGAAGATTGGTACATTTAGTGGATTCAAAATAAGGGGTCAAGAACACAAGGTGAACTTATATGTAGACGACCTCACCCTCTATATTTCTGATCCGATGTCCTCCATCCAGGCTATCCACCACATCCTGACATCGTTTGCAAGAGTTTCGGGATTGCAGATCAACCAATCTAAGTCCGAAATATACCCTATCAAACTCAAAAAAACAACAGAAACAAAGATTAAAAGTTCCTTCCAATTCAAATGGATTAAGGAGAGTTGGCGACATCTAGGGGTGATTATGTTTTGCAGTCCATTGAAACTGTGAATTGAGAATCTGTGAAGTCTTTCTTTTGGGTTGGGAGTGTCAAACAGTAAATGTTAGATATTGCTTTAAATCTCCAGCCTATTCATTGCAGCTCATGTATTTCACATATTGAAGATTGATGTATATTTGAGAAATATTTGGAGCCTTATGTGATGCTAAGTCATATATGGTTAAGAAGATGTGGCATGCTGGCTGTATTTACATTGTGATATAATTTTCAGAATGAACTCTGTAAGCACATATTTAGACTTTATCCTGCAACTGCTTTAGTAGCTCTGCTCATTTGCATAAAGGCAAGACTGTATAAGAACTTGGGAAGTTAATTTCTGTAATAATTATTTTAATATTTATTTCCAGATAAATCTCTTCTTAAGATCTTCTGTGTCAGAATGGATCAGGGCTGTTATTTCACACACACACACACATGTAGCTGTATATACATATATAGTTGCAAAGATGTGTGTAGTGAATCAGAACACTGTTACATTGGTCTGGTATGTTAGTTTTCCCCACAGCAGACCTGTAAAATAGTCCAGGCATTGTTGAAAAATAACATACATTTCTGCAGTACTTTAAGGAAATCAACAATTAATTGTGACATTTTAAGCTTTCTTTTTATTCCCCCTTAGGAAAAACAACTGGGGAGGTTGCTGTTCTGAAGAGGGAGAACCGTTATGTGTACTATCTGGTAAGAATAGATAGAAAACACAGCAGGAGTCTCGGCATGTGAACTGATTATAGTAGGAATAGATCTATGCATATAGTAGTGCTGCATTTTTGTTTATGAGTGGTGTATGTCCACCCTCATCTTAGATAAGGCTTGCCAGGTAGAGGACAAGAGGAAATAGTGTGGGGAGGGGGGTACAGGAGAAAGTGAACTGTCCCTGCAGGTAAGCTCTTGTGGGGTTCCCACTGTGCAACTGGAACCACACAGAGACCGATTCCCCACAAGCAGCTGTGCTGCCCTCACTCTTCCGTTTGCCCCAGTTGCATTGGTCGATTTCACACTATTCGCTGTGCAGCTGCATTTTGACCCACAGCTCCCCCTGATTTCCCTCGCATCTTCTCAATCCTTGTTTTATGAGATCGAGAAGACACGGGGGAAATTGGGGGGAGATGCGGGTCAAAATGCGGCTGCACAGTGAATAGTGTGAAATTAACCAATGCAACGGGCAAATGGAAGAGCGAGGGTGGCACAGTTGCTTGTGGGGAATTGGCTAGTTTTCCCAGGGAGAGGCTATAGGGAAAGGGAAGGAGGGAAAGCTGAAAATGGGGGCAGATAACGGTAGGTTGACTGATAGGTGGTAAAGGAGGGAAGCCGCCACAACCATCTGAGGCCCTGGCCCCAATACTATCAATATTTCAATAACACCAATAATATCATTAACATCATTGAATAGCCTGTGCCTTCCTGACATGACCCAGACCATGCGCTAATTGATTGTGGACTCCCACCATGTTGTATGCCATTGCTAGCACTTTGTATTGTTTTTAGGTTTAATTTATTGTAATTTTAACTGAGAAATTGTTTTATCAGTAATAATGTTGTGAGCTGCACTGAGCCTGCTGCAGCGGGGAGGGCAGGATAGAAGCCAAATAAAATAAATAAAATAAAGAGAAGAAGCTGGAAAATAGGACAGGCTATGGGGGCTTTGAGGGAAGGGATTTTTTAAGAGGAAATAATGGAGGGGGGGATGAGATGCCCCCTTGCAAGTCCTGGGGGGTTACTTGCTTGTCTATACTTTTAGCCTTGAAATCTTATCAGAAATCACAGATCAGAATATTTAGCTACAGAATTTTTATTTTTTCTTGCTTGGTAAAGCACAGGCTGTATAGTATCATCATTAGTAAAGTTACACCCTTCTAAGTTCAGTGACATCAATATGCTTAGAAGAGTTTAAGCACTGATAACGATCCTATTTTCATGTCCACCAACTGATACCTTAGAAATACATAGTTTTAAGGTTATAGCCTGTGTCCAGATTATAGCAAACCCTAGCATATTTCATTTTAATAATTTATTCCAAATAACAGCAAAATTAAAAAGAAGAAAAAGAGATGGTTTTTATACCCTACTCTTCTTCCCTTCCTCTCCCCACAACAATCACCTTGTGAGATAGGTGGGGCTGAGAGAGTTCGGAGAGAACTGTGACTGACCCAAGGTCACCCAGCAGGCTCTATGTGGAGGAATGGAGAATCAAATCCAGTTCTCCAGATTATATTCTTTTACTTGTAACCACTACACCATACTGGCTCTAAATGACCCAGGATAGAGTATTTGTATGATCTTTGCTTGATTTGTCATTAGAAAAACACTGGATAAAAATATTTATGAATCTTAATAAAGGACTGTGCTGCTATCATAAGCTCTTAATGCAGTTGAACTCAATGGGAGTTTCTTGTAAGCAGACATAAATAGGATCGTGCTTCAAATGAATCTAATGCAAAATATATCTAATCCATGTTTGACCTTACACTTTTATTTAGATTACAAAAAATAAATACTTTCACAAGCCTACATATGACAATCTGCGGAACAGTTTAGAAGCTATGAAAATCCATTGCCTGAAGAATGGTGTAACTTGCATTTCTATGCCCAAGTAAGCAAAAATGGCTTCTTATTAACTGGAGGTCTTCAAATACTCACTTTAATGATCTTTGCCTGTGCAGCTGAAATATATGATCAAAAGCACAAAGTTCATAGTAAGAGGCAAGTCTAATCGTTTCCTCTTTTCAGCTCTGGATAAGAAATTTCTGCAGTATAAACAATAGCAGCATGAAAATCTACATGCAGAAGCTTTAAGAGAGTTACTAGAATTCATTCATCAGTTTATTTACGGTTTCTTTATGTGTCGAGTTTAGGGCCTTTGCTTCCAATTTCATTTTACCTTGTGGAAGTTGTAGGCATGATCCACATACAGCAAACCATGCTTTTTTATTATGAGAGTGAGCCTTGGAAACCCTTGGGTTTGTGAAGTCCAGAAATTAATTACTTCTTGATGTCAAGTCACAGTTTGTCATTTCCTCCAAATTATAAACTATTGAGTGTTTTCTTCTCTCCAAACCACAGTTTAATCCTTGTTGGGAAACAAGAAAACACATTGTAGGATGAAATGGTGAACTAATTTACAAGCTGTGTACAATGGGTTGGAATGTATGAGCCTGAGTATTTCCAAGGCTTGTTCCCATAATGCAAATCATAGTTCATTGTTTTGTTACTCAGACAATAGAATAAATGCTGTTGTGAGTTCCACACAGAACACTATTTTCTGAGACCTGATCTCTGACCATCTTTGTGGTCCAAAGAACTCCTGTGGGGAAAAAAGCCAATAGGTGAAACTTGTTAGCAGCCAGAGCCTGAACAATTGTACTAATCATATACTGAGAAATACAGACTTTGATATGGTGATGTTTCTAACGTGTCAGTGATATTTGTTTTAGTTTGCTGACTTCCTTAGTAGCTGAACACATATTTTATAATATTTTTGAGTATGCAGGAAGTGTCCCTTTTTAACGTAAATGTGATAACCATCATTCTGACTTTATTACTTATTGACATTTTATTGGCTCTCAGTTTTCTATCAATTTTTAACTTTTTACTGCTGTTTATTTCCATTTTAGTTGTTTTAAATCACAGCTGACTGCTGTTTTAGATTATTGCTGTTATTTTACTTAAGTTTACATTTGTTTTTTAAAACAAATTCTTTTTTATTCTTTGTTTTTTGTTGATATTAGCCATCTTGGGTATTATTTATAATAGAAAGCCGAGGTGTACCATTACATAATAAATATATAAACATAAACATTGTGGATTCCATTCTATACTACTTATTATCTACAATATGTTGTGGCATTTGCACAGATTCTGATGTGAGATGACAATTACAGTTATAAACTTGGTTTACCTGGAAGTAAGCTTGTGACATTCTGGAGTAAACCGGGTTAGAATCATGCAGCAGGGAAAGCTGTCAGGATGTTTCTTTGGTGATGGATCTGGTAGTAATATCACTTTTTAAAAGTGTTTTTAACACCTGCCTGTGTACTTTATAGGAACCTCAAGAAAAATGTCCTTGATGCTTTGATCATTTATCTTTCAGGATTGGGTGTGGACTTGATCGCCTGGATTGGAGTAAAGTTTCATTAATGCTTGAAGAAATATTTGAAGATACAAATATTAAAATCACAGTTTATACACTTTAAGTCATTCTTGAGACAGGGTTTCATTTTTCCATTTGTTGTAATTTTGTGTTTGTAACTGATTTGGTATAAGATGGTGGGCTGTTCATAACTATGTTTTCTTCCACTCCTCTAGACATTACTTATCATTGCTAATGTTCAATCATATATAGTATTATGTACAAAATACATAGATCATCCAGGGATACTCTTTTTTAGTATTACAGCCAATCACCATGTGTCTCTTTCTGCCATTTGGCAAATGATGCAACTTATTAAAAAAAACTTCTTTGCATTACTGTGTTTGGTTAATTTTTTCACTGCAGTTTCATGTTTCAAAATAACATGGAAAACTATGACATTTTAGTAAAATACTGAAAACGTATTTGCTGTTCTTTATTTTTACATAAATTTGTTTCCAAACATGATTGTTTTGTAGAAGGGCTGCAATATCTTGTTTTACTCATATGAGGGTTCATGTGTATATGCAATTCCTCTGAAATTCATGAGATCCTCCAAATGCTGGAACCCCTTGTGTACAGAGGTGAAACTCTTGCTCATAGCCACTGTATTCCATATTTGCTTCACATAGCAGAGGTCCATCAGTGACTATTAGCCACAAGATATAGATAGGAACTCTCAGGCTGGGGCAAGTGATGCTCTGTCTTCTTGGTGCTTTGGGGGGTCAACAGTGGGAGGGCTTCTAATGCCCTGACCCCACTGGTGGACCTCCTGATGGCACCTGGTATTTTTGGCCGCTGTGTGACAGTGTTGGACTGGATGGGCCTTTGGCCTGATCCAACATTGGCGTTTCTTATGTTCTTATTGACTACTAGCAATGAAAAATAGGTGCTACATAATTTAATTGAGCAACTATTAATAACCTTCTTTAAAGTGGCCACTATATTTAACATGGGAGTTTTCCATGTCTTGCCAAAATGTAGCCTTATCTCTTTCTGCAGCACTTGATCTTGTAGTATAACGTCAGTGCTTTCAAGGTCACTTCTGAATTGGTTTTCATAGGTACACAGAAAATAAATGTTCCTCCTCGGTGTGCTAAAATAAATATTCATCTAAAATGTTTCCATTGTATCTGAAGCTTTCCGTTGTATCTGAAAATACATGTATATTCAATGTATTTATTTATTTACTTTATTTATATCCCACCTTTCACCCCAATGGGGACCCAAAGCAGCTTACGCAATTTTCCTTTCTTCCATTTTATCCTCACAACAATCCTGTGAGGGAGGTTAGGCTGGAGTGTGTAACTAGGCCAAGGTCACCCAGTAAGTTTTCATGGCAAGAGTGGGGATTTGAACCTGGATTTCCCAGATCCTAGTCCAACACCTTAAACCACTGTACCACACTGGTATACAGTTACTGTATTTATTTGTATAGCTGTATCCTCCCTCAGAGGAACTAGGTCCCACAGTAGGGAAAACTTCAATTGAATCTTCCATTTTCATAAAGGAAGTTCCCCTATATTGAGACAAACTATTGGTCCATCAAACTCAATATTATCTACCCATGCTGGCAGTGACTCTTCAGGATCTTGAGCAAGGAAAAGTCTTTCCAGCAACTACTGTCTGAGATACTTTGAGATCCCAGGGACAGACCTAGGCTAAGTCACAGCACTTCCCTGTACACATGGAAATGCACTATTCAGGACATTCTACTACTACTATGATACTTTTGTTGAAATTGTCAGATGTCTCTTGTGACTGTGTGTACTTGCAGTTCAGTATCAGTTGGTTACTTCTCAAGGGATCTGAACAGTTACATATTCCCAGGGGTTGTTTCGTAGAAAAAGAGCTAGGGGAACTCATTAGCATAACTCATTAGCATATGCCACACCCCCTGACATCACCGGAAGTGTGTCATAAGGCCACACCCCCTGACATCACCGGAGGTGTGTCATAAGGCCACACACCCCGCCCCCAACGGTCCCGGCCGCTGCTGCCGGCCTTGCAGCTCCACCGCTGAGCCCCATGAGGGGCCCGGCGGTGGACCTGCAAGGCCGGCGGGAGTGCAAGGAAGCCCCGCGAAGGCCCTCCCTGGCCCCAGGCAGGCAGGGGTGGGGAGAGGCAGGGAGGAAGCAACTTACCCTCCCTCTTCTCCTGCCTCCTCCTGGCTGAATGAGGGCCGGAAGCGGGGCGGCCGGAAGCAGGGGGTGGGGCTTCGTCATGTACCCCGCCCCCGTACCTCACCCGGGGGAACTGCGATCCCCCGCGACCCCCCCCGAAATGACCTCTGCATATTCCTTCTCATATTCTAAATGTAAAAGTACATTCCTTTTCATAGGCTATGAGAATGTTTTTGGACAAGAGCAAGGGCTTATGGGTGCATACTAGAGTTTCTCACATCCCCTCCCCCACAATAGCTGTTCCTCCTCCTGCTTCAGAAGCTGGTTGTGAAGGTTTCCTGAGGCTAGAGAGATAGTACAGTGTGGGGAAGGTCATATTTGAAAGAAAGGATTTGAACCATCACATGCCGCTTTGGATTGGAACTATAGTTTTATCTCTAGTGTTTCCAGGTTCTTAAAAGGTGGCTTTGTTTCACAGTTGACTTACCTGAGGTTATGTAATTTTTTTCTCAGATTTTCCCTGTCAGGTAGGGAATCTGTTTTGGAGCTGACCTTGATAATATCTTCCTGATTAAAAATGCCTTAATTCTACTCTTGTGCTGGGACTTATGTGGTAGCTGGGAAGGAGCTAAGTGATAGCTAGTAAGATTGCTGTTTGTAGTGGTTGTTAATCTGTATTTGGAGGATTTGAACAATACTGAGCTACAGGTCTAAGTCATTTGTTGGTCAAGTTGCTGGTTATGAATAGCAGCATTGCATCAGTACACCGGTATACTATTCTAGCCCTTGTATCTGCTTTGTTTTCCAAGTACATGATCTTAGTATAGTTGTAGCTTTTTCGTATCAGCAGCTCTGCCTTAGAGTGGTTATGTTCACTTTTAGGAAAGCTTTGGCCACATTTTGACACACAAGCATGCTTGTAGGGTGAGAAATACACTGTTGTAGTATTTCTCATCCTATCTGCATGCCTGTGTTTATGGAACAGGATGGGGAGGCTTCTCTAACTATCGAGGGTCGACAGTCTTGCCAAAGGCATTCAGTCAAATTAGGTCCAGCAACGGCTATTTGTTTTATTTTCTTATTTGCCCTGTTTACAGTAGGAAAAGTGATAAAAGAGATGCTGAGCATTACTTCTTACATTTGTTTCAGAGAAGTTAACCAGAATATTAAGCCATGGATTTTAGTTATACACGGTGGAAGAAAAAGCAAAACATTTTATATACTTATTGTCATTACAAAAAGATCTGTACTATTACAAAAACATGTCTCCTAAACTTGTTTAGTTTGTGGTATTGTTTTAAAGAAAGATTTTTGGTGTAATTTGATTTTTTCCACTGAAGTTTTAACTTTACACTGCAGACATTAACTTCATTCCAGAACACAATGCTTTTTCTTTTCCAGCAGGGCAGCCTTACATGTTTCAGACAACCAAATGCCTCCATGCAGCATGATAAATGTATTTTTAGTCAGCACAACGGTATGTTTACTAGAGACTTGCAGTAGTATTTTCTGCTTCAGAGTGGGTCTGGAGGACTGAAGGGAGTAGTCCCAGATGTCAGAGTATATCATGGTTGTCTCTCCATAGGACTGGCAGATCTTTTACAAGCAGGCCCTGGAGAGAGAAATTGAGACTTTGAATTATTCTTTTTAAATGTTCTGGTGTTTTACTATTCAGATAAGCAAAGTGGGTTATATAAAATTATTTCCTGTAATGGAGGTGGGAGTTTGGTTTTCGTTCTCTTCATCCCTTTAAAGTACCTAAAATAAAATCCATGTGACACATTTTATGTAACTACAGAATATTACTTTCAGTCTTGTCTTACATTGGCATCTCTAGGCATGCTTAGTGACAGTGGACATGACAGCTGGTATTAGACAGAAGACTTTTATTCTCCGGTGGTCCAGGAGTGGGGCAGTCCTTGACTCCTTACTCCTGGGAAAGCATCTCCCCCTTCCATAAGCAGGGCCAGCAAACTTTGATCCCAGAGGGGAGGGACTTAACAACATAAGAACATAAGAGATGCCAATGTTGGATCAGGCCAAAGGCCCATCCAGTCCAACACTCTGTATCACACAGTGGCCAGAAATACCAGTGCCATCAGGAGGTCCACCAGTGGGGCCAGGACATTAGAAGCCCTCCCACTGTCTTATGGGCTTCTGGGCAGAGATGGAACTCCCAGCAGCAGCTGCTGTCATGCACATGTGGAGAGAGGTTCGGGGGGGGGATTAAAGACCCCCATCGATTTTGGTAAAGTTTTTAGATTTTTCTGCAACCCTGGGGGGCACCCTAAATTTGTGGGCAAATATTCCTTCTCTCCACCTGGCTCCAATTCATGGAATTCAGTATCCGCAGATGGAGCCAAGTTGGGAATTAGATATATAGATGTTTCATATTTGTTAGCTGCTTTGAATGTTGTTTTGAAGAGAAAGGCAGGACACCTATAAATTAATAAAAATAAAATTTTATCAGGATGAGTAATAACTGTTGGTGAACTTTTCAACAAGGTATTCATCTAGTCCTTTTCGAAGATGCGTAAGTGACTGGACTTCACCACAACCCATGACAGTGAGCTCCAGTATGGATCCTTGTGGACCCCTTAGGTTGCTTCCCTCCATTGTGAGAACTGGACGTTTATTCTGACTCTCTGTTTCCTGTCATTTAACCACCGTTCAATCCATGAGAGGACCTGGCCTCTTATCCAATGATCAATAAGCTTACTTAGGAGCAGGGCTCTAGTCGGGGGGGAGCGCTCCGGTACGGCGCTCCGGAAGAGAAGCGGGGCAGTCACGTGGTGAAGCCCCGCCCCCTTCTTCACCCCGCCCTCTGCTTCGATCCTCATTCCGTTCAGGAAGGAGAAAGAAGCAGGAGGGTAAGTAGCCGGGCCTTCCCCGGCCTTGCCGTCCCCCCCCTCGATCCCTCTCCCCCACCCCCCATCTCCCCCAACCCCGCATCCCTCTCCCGGCTGCGTGTAGCAGCCGGGAAGGGAGGCCACGGCCCGCCCGCCCTTTTCCCTTCCCAGGGGAGCGCGAAGCCGCTCCGCTGGGGAGAAACCCCCCCCCAACCCCGCATCCCTCTCCCGGCTGCGTGTAGCAGCCGGGAAGGGAGGCCACGGCCCGCCCGCCCTTTTCCCTTCCCAGGGGAGCGCGAAGCCGCTCCGCTGGGGAGAAACCCCCCCCAACCCCGCATCCCTCTCCCGGCTGCGTGTAGCAGCCGGGAAGGGAGGCCACGGCCCGCCCGCCCTTTTCCCTTCCCAGGGGAGCGCGAAGCCGCTCCGCTGGGGAGAAACCCCCCCCACCCCCGCATCCCTCTCCCGGCTGCGTGTAGCAGCCGGGAAGGGAGGCCACGGCCCGCCCGCCCTTTTTCCCTTCCCAGGGGAGCGCGAAGCCGCTCCGCTGGGGAGAACCCCCCCCAACCCCGCATCCCTCTCCCGGCTGCGTGTAGCGGCCGGGAAGGGAGGCCACGGCCCGCCCGCCCTTTTCCCTTCCCAGGGGAGCGCGAAGCCGCTCCACTGGGGAGAAACCCCCCCCAACCCCGCATCCCTCTCCCG